TCTCACGTGAATTCAATGGCTATCTCTGGAATATATTTGTTGGTGTCTAAATGTGTAGCAGTAAAATAAGAAATCACAATCATCAACTGGATCACTGTCATATTCGACCACTGAAGCATCGAAACTCGCATCTGCAAAGCTGTGGCTCTGGAATAGCAAACAACATCAAACAGTCAAGTGCAGCACTTGTAGGCTGCAGTCAATGAAACTCTCGGAGGAGATTCATACTGGTATGAGAAAACCTGCAATAGGTTTGCAAAGAGTGCCCCCTTCTGTCAAAACAATTACAATTACATAAATGACCTTTAAAAATATTGAAAGAAAATATATTGTTCAGGAAAGAAACAGTGCCACAACAGACTTATTATATAACTTATTGGCTGATTGCTTCATTGAGTGAGCGTTTTTTGTGTGTGTCTGTCTGATTCATTGATGAGAAAAATCTTACATACATACATCAACAAGTGCGCAACAGAGTAACTATTGTTTTTATTTCCATTATGCATGAACACAGCTTTTCAATATATAATTTGGTCTTTAAAAATCACAACAGGCATATTAGGCAAGTTCTCACCTGACTGAAGTTGTCAGTAAAACTTGATTGGCCCAAGTCTACCACAATGGAAAATGGTGGTGTTGCACAGGAAGCCATGTGTAGGAGGTTCTGAGGTATAGAGTAGATCAGAAGTTGCAGAGTGCTTACTACAGAAGTATCTACTTCTATTTTTAACCTGACTGTACTCTTAACTTTTAATCTCAATTGTGTACTTTAAGGACATGAAGTAAAGAGACCAGGATTACAGTCGCAAACAGTTTAGCAAGTATACAATATGTCTGCTCAGTAGAGTGCAGTAGTAATTTGTAATTAACAATACTGTAGATATTAATCAGCTCCCTTCTTTACTTTTTTCCTCTTGACATTCAGCCTTTTAGAATTGATTATAACATAACCTGTTTGACATTCTAATGTAGTCCTCATTGTTATAAAATGTGCACCACCTGGCCTAGGTTCAACTGAACAGGTGATGTTTCAAAGTGTCCTGTGAGGGATTTTGTCAAGATTCGGCACTGCCATCTAGTGTACTAATCTAGATTCTAGAGAATAACTATTTTTCAAGACAATCTTTTTTTTTAACATCTGACTGAAACATTAGCATGTAGACCTAAGCTCCATTATGTTGGGTAGTTTAGATCAAAACATCTTATTGTATTTCTTATTTATTTTACCTTTATACACCTTTACCTTATCTTTACCTTTATCTTGTTTAACATGTTATCGGAAATGTAGTCACTTTAGCTCCGATGTCAATATAGTTTAGTAGCCTATTGAGTAAAAATGAAAACACATTCCCCTTTGAAATATAGTGCAAAGTAGCATAGTAAAAAGTTGCATGAAATGGAAATATTAAAGTTAAAGTACCTCCAAACTGTAAGAATAAGCCAACAGTTTTTTTATCATCAATTACCACTGCTTACCGAGCACCTTGCAGGATAAACACAAGGATTCATAACATTAATGATGGAGGCTGTGTTCCATTTCAGGTGAGCGTTTCCTGTGCCCAGGAGTCGTGGAGAGGCACGCCCAGTGGCCTAGCTTATGGAATGGAACCATGGATGTATTATCATTAGTGCCACCTGTGTTTTTTTTTTGTAGTTAAGTCTGAGTAATAGGTAAGAGGCAGTTTTATAATTAATACATACAACAAATGTTAAATAAAATATCCCTGTCATTTCCTACAACACAAGCTACACTAAAAAAAATGTCTGCAGGTTTCAGTGGTACCATGTCAGCCATCCGAAATGTGTTTACACGAGTTAGCCAGCTGTCTACTTGCAATTAGCAAGCTTTAAGGTAATAGTAATGTAACGTTGAGTAACGTTACTCTGTCAAATTGTCTTCCTTTGTTATGCTCAGGTTGCCAGATATACAGTAATACTACGAGTAGGCCTACGCGAGCTAACAACACCTAGTTTCTACTTTGAAAAGTCTAAATTTAGAGCTAGCTTACGCTACTGCATAACGGCGAAAAATAGTCACTATAACGTTATAGTGTCAGGAGTCCTGACTAACGAAGTGTTAGTTCAGTTAACATTGGTTGCTAGGAGTGTTTGTATCTTTTGTTTAGCAAAGGTGGAATAAATGCTCAGATCTTGTACGTAAAAGTAGAAATACCTTACCAATGTCAATACTCTGTTGGAAGTGAAAGTCTTGCAATCACAATGTTACTCAAGTAAAAGCATAAAAATACTGGCATCTAAATAATATTTTAAAAGTCAAAGTACTCGCTATGTAGATCATATGTTTTCATAATCATTAATGTATGTGTTGGTCAAGCTTAACGGTGGCACACATTTTAATTACTTTATACTTCTGGGTAGCATGTGAATTTAATCCAGGTGAAACTAAAGTCTTATTTGAAGGGTTGATTATATATATTCTTTATCATTAATCCATGTATGCAAAGTAACTAAAGGCACTACACACATATAGCGGAGTAAAAGTACAATGTTTAGCTTTGAATTGTAGTGGAGTAGAAATACAAAGTAGCATAACATGGAAATACTTAACTTAAGTACAAGTATTTCAGAATTGTACTTAAGAACAGTAGCCTACTTGATTGTACTTCGTTACTTTACACCACTGAACTTAAGGGCCAAGGAGCTTAACACAACTTCTACTGCCTAATTTATTATCAGCTAACCTCAACAAATAAATATTAACACAACAGTAGATGTTAAGAGTATTTTGGTGGGTATATCACCATTTTCAGGGTTATAAAAACGGTCAAAAGGGATGTTTGGATATTATATTTGAAAATATTGATTTACAGCCTTGCCAAAACACTTTAGTAAAATTGGCAGTTACAGAGATATAAAAACAACAGGCGAAATGTTAAAAACTGCTTTATATTCTAATATAACATTAAATTAAACAAAAATATAAAATACTCACTGACACAGTGTTAACAAAAGCAACATTTAAATCTTAATTTATTTTGTTTAAGGGCCCACACATGTACTGTAGATGTTCCAAAAGTGGGATTTATTTACCCAAAATAAAGCAAACAATTAACAACATATCAAAAGTTCTGGGCCCATAAAAAAGCTCAACTAAACAACAACTTAACCGAGCTCATGATACTGATTGAAAGTGTTATTATTATAAAACTGTACCAACTACAACTGGCCTAATAAACTAAAGAAAAAGGAGAACATTGCTAATCAAACCCTTTTACTTTTCAACATAGTAACTAAAACGAACACTACCTACTAACAAATACAAATAAAGCATACATCCTATAAAGTTTATAAACCCACAAATTCTGTTTCTATCATTTTTTATATCTGACATCGATATATATTGTTGTTACTGATGCATCATGTATAACCACGATTGCACTGTTGTGTTCATTGCAGGAGTCGGGGATGATGTGGAGATCCACTACAGAGCCATCAGAGCCACTTGGGTGAGTATAATGTATCTAAAGTAGGTTGTTATGTAATGTTTCCACTGTTAGTGCAGCTTTAATGAAATATGAAAAGTCCTCGTCACGCCTTGCTACAACTTTCTGAGAACTCTAAAAGCACTTGCCCTAATTTATTAGTATGTTAATTTACAACATCCCCTTAAATGGGTCCATCTACCCATTACATAATTAAACAGGATTGGGATTTCGCAGTGTTCATTTTAATTTAGTAGTACAAGATCTAAAATGATTATACAGTCGGAAGAATGCTTATATGGTCCTTCAACATAACACACTACTACTCCAATATAGCTATGTTATGAAATATTGTGCTTTAAACTCAAGTTACTTCTTTTTTTGTGGGGATGAAGCTTTGCCAGAAATGTATTTGACCTGACAATAGCAAAACATCCTATCTGTAGCAATAGATGTATATCACCCCTGGCCTTTGTCAAACCATGGGACTCAGGGACATTAAGCAGTGAAGCCAGTAACAATTAAAATAACTACATCTTAAAACGGTTGTAAATTGGTAAATAAATAAAAATGTCCAGCATGATTTATACATGCAATTTGTGTGCTTGTACATGCTGTATATATGTTTGTTTTTAACAATGCAGTCACCTATGGTCATGTAAAATATAAAATTCCTGATGGTGGTGCTAAGAGCGAGCTTCAGTTTCAAGTGTAAAAGCTTTCTTCCACTTGTGAGCATCAATATGTCATGGCTCAGTGCAACTCAAACTGTCTTTTTGAGACGCAGGTCATAAATAAAAACATGTATCTCACCAAAATACTAATGTGCATTACTGTTATCTTTGGATCCAGATGACGTTAATTAATTTGATCTCTATAAAAATTGGGCCTTTTACTAGAATGTAAAGCATTTTATAGCTTATTAGATGTACATGTTTCTCGTGCTTCATGTGTAGATATGTAAAATAACTATTCACGGAAGAGATGGCACTTTTTATAACCTATCAGTGATCATAAATTGATATAATAATAACACTATAATATGAGGGCACTATGACTTGCCTCCAAAAGCAGGTGACTTTCGACAGAAGTGCAAGTAGAAGCATTGGTCAAAACTCCCATCTTTCTATTTAGTCTTAGTCATTTCATTTTATATCCCCAAACACTTCTCCGTATGAACAGTATTACATCACTATTGACTGATACCAGGTTTATTCTGTTTTTACTTTCTGACAGTAAACATGTTTGTTATTTAAGATTTGTGTAGTTAAAGCATGCTTTAGCTTAATGTGGAATGGTTATAAAGCAAGGTGCCCTGATATAATGCCTAACCTCATTTAATGCACAGATAATCTCATCATTTGGAAACTTGTGAGATTGTATAACTAGATGTGACCCCTGTCAGTTATTGCTAAAAATGCAATTGGAGGATCTTTTTCACAACAGGCCGAGACTGGTTCTGACTTTAGTGAACGTCATTGCTGCACAGATAGTATTTGTTCACAAGGAGGCAGTGTTGTCCTTTTGAAAAATAAACAGAAAAGTGGACAGATTTACTGAGAGCAACAGCAACATGATTTTATTGTTTAAAAAGATGGTTCAAAACAAACTTGGAGGGTCTTATGTTCTCATCAAGTCAAAAAGAAGATGCATAAAGTGGTAGAGGTCAATATTAATCTAGACATTGCATCCATTAAACAGCATTAAGCAGCATACACTACATTTTTTACATTTCAGGCCTTGTACCATGAAAAGCTTCTTGAATATAGTTGAGCTTTGAAATAACCTTTATGTTCTTGCTTTCAATTTGCTAAGCAACAAACACCACATTTAAACATCGAGGTTTAATCGATCAGTTGTTGCAGGTATCGGAGCTTCCCATAATCGAATGGATCCAGTTTCTGTACTCTGCAATCTTAGTATAACTGTACAATACCGGGCTGTCTGTGGTGTTGTATTTGAAGGCCGCGGACACCACCCCGTATGCCTTTTCACCTTCGCAGACCAGTGGACCACCAGAGTCTCCCTGCAAGTACATGAACAGTATACAGCGATTGCTTTGACATAATATACCTGTTGACCAGTGTTTGTTTGTGCTTGTGATGTGTAGCTATACCTACCTCTGCTGGTCTAGGCTCTCCCTTAGAGCAGTACAATTTGTCCTCATTACACTGCTTATTGTCGATTAGCGTTACATTAGCTTCCATGAGTACACGAGACATGAATTTTTCGTTCTCGTCTGTTCTCCCCCAGCCGGAGGTCGAACAGGATTTTGGCAGACATTCATCATCTTTGCATGCGATAGCAATGGGTTTCACACTTTTGCTGAGGATTGGCTGGGAGCTCAACTTTAAAAACAGAGAGAAAAATAAATATATTTATAAAGTATTAAAGTCAAATTGTTGAGTATTTTAGGATTAATTCATTCAATATGGCATTTTCTAATGAGATGAGGAACAAAAAAGTGTTAATAACACATTCCTGCTGTTTAGTACAGATTTAAAATTCTATTTAAAATGAGTTTTACTCTCACCTTAAGAAGCATTATGTCATTTCTTAAATCACCCACTTTGTAGTCTTCATGTGGATATGATTTCTCCACACTTTTGTTCGAGACATTGTTAACTCCTAGTGAGACTTTGTAAGAACTGAAATGACAAAAGTGCAGAAAAGTTATCTCTGAGTAGTTTTGAGTAAGTCAGTCAGAAGGTCAGAAGGTAAAAGAAGTTAAACTGACCCTGAATGGCAGTGGGCTGCAGTCATCACAAAATCCGCGTTCAGAAGGAAGCCACCGCAGTGTTTTATTTGACCAGCCTCATGATACTCCAAAAGCACCATGTATGGCCTGCTTTGTGCCACTTGACCTCCAATGATTTTTCCTGTATGAACTGAGAGGAAGTGCATTTGGGATCAAAAGAGACTAATCAAATAAATAATGAATTCTTATGCCTTTTATGTCTAACAGTACTGACAGTGAGATATAGTTCCTCATGTGATTAGGTTTAAACTGCAATCTTAAATACAGCTATAGTGTATATAATGCAACAAAAGAAAAACATACCTTGTCCACCAAAAGTCAGCGCGAGTATCAGTGTCAGCAGTTCACAGCGGATAAACATGGTGAGACCAGGGTCTAGCTGAGCTTCTGAAAGGACTGACACACATCACTGGCAATTTCAATCTTTAAATGCTTCCTTGTATAACCGAGAAAAGGAAGTGTTTGTGTATTTTGCATATACAAACCATGTGGCTTTTAACCACATTCATGAACAGGGCGTGTCTATCTCCTCCAGAGCAAGTTTGATCCAAAAAATATAAGTCTAAAACATTATATAAGTACGTACACTATAGTGCATGTGGTTTTTAAAACGCAAAGTCTGTGAAATTGACCATTTATTTTTTTTTTTTATCTGCCATAGCATTGCCGCAAAATAGGATATTGTTAACACAGTCTCCTGGCAACAAAGGCTCCTTGGCAATAGACATAGTCAGGGGGCATTCACATGAACATGATCAGACGTACTTAACACTACAGCCTTACGTTTTGTTGGTGCAACTGACATAAAGTCTAATCTATAGACCTGTCTTAACAAAGACCGACTTAGCAATTAGGACAATTCCTGGAAATAGAAATAACCAGGACTTTCTATAGTGATGACAAACCTGAATCATTACTAATTTAATAATATCTATATTACTAATTGCAGTGCCTAACACTCAGGGACCTCACGCTGCTTAGTGCACATTTGTATTATGTCTGTATTTAAAGTTTATAAAGACTGTATTTAACTTATATATGCCTGCAGCTTTTCCATATACTGTATGCTTCAAACTTTATCTGTAAATATGTATTTTATACAAACTTATCTGTAACTTGCCACAAATTTGATACAACCTTGATACTTTAACCTCATTAGATTACATGTCACTTGTAAGATGCTTTTACCCAATGCGGCTTACATGTGGGCAATCCCCACAGGAGCAATTTAGGGTGAAGTGTTGCTGTGGGCACTGGGTATTGAAACAGTGCCTTCCTGATCCGAAGATCAGCGCACCACTGGGCCGCAGCCTCATGCACTTTATCTCTTCTTTGCACTTTCTGGTTGGACGCAAATGGCATTGGCTCATATCCAGGCTACACACAAAGCCTGAAATTGTATGTTACGCTGTAAAGAAGATGCAATGATCTAAAAGAGGGGTACTTTTGGGGGATTGAGTACCTACAGAGACGGTCCATTACTATTAGGCAGCAAGACATATTATTTACATTATCATAGAGTTCTGAGAGAGGACAAGCTGTGTGTTGAGTTTGATGCTTCATCAGGCACTCAGTTAATTATAATTGATCAAGTAACAGGATCCAACCTGAATTCATAACCAATGATCATCTTCATAAGATTTGGGCTGCAAAAATTGCTGACATCAAGATAGCATTTCTGCGAACATCACGAGACACATCATAGAGACAGACATGCATTGGGATGTCTGTGGTTAACTGATGAAAATAACAGGATGCCGTGAGAGCTGAGAATGTTTAAAAAACAGTTTGGCCCTTCTTACTACCAGCAACTTTAGGGGAAACATCTTTTTTTGAACATCCAGTTGGGAGAGACCCTTAAAATGTTGTTTGTCAAAGACCTTCTCTTTTTGTATACTCAGTTGCCCACACACGCATACTGGCTGCTGCAGCTAGCATACACTTTTGCTAATGAGAACACTCAATATACCCACTTGGATAAATCTCTGTCTTCAGCCACATTTCCGGATGATTCCTTTTTTAAATGTTAAAAGTTCACACAAATAATTACCAAATACTTGATGTATGCTTAAAGACTGAAACTAAAGGTAGTACTTTCATGTCCCAGATTTAGTATTACAGAATTGTATGATGGAGATACTGCACATAAACAGCACTTTTTAAATACATACAATTGTGTAATGTAGCATATGTCATAGAGACAATGACATATCCCTCTCTTTTGGGTGTTGTGCAGGTTCTAGGAAGTAAGCTAGTCAGGCTGGCATGCTGTCATTGGCAGTTAATGTAAGAATCACTTTAATCTATTCCCAATACTAGTGCTCTTATATTCTAGGTTTTGAAAAGGTGATAACGAGTCATCACTTTCTAAAGTTTTGAATATATTGAGAATTGTTTTTTTAAGAGCCACAACATTTCAACATGGAGGATTGGTAGCTATGTTTGCTAAGCTATGGCCAGATAATCAGGGGCTACAGATCAGATCTTTTCTTATAGGTAACTCTTGAGCAAATGATGTGCACTACCCTGTCACATAAACAATTAAATGAATAAAACATTGTTAAAGGGAGAAGTTTAGTAAAAAGTAAATTGGGTAGTGTGTTGTGACAATGTATTCATGTATTGCATATTTTGTGACACACCTACAATAACTACCCTCAGATCACAATTTTTAACGCCTCCGCTTTCTAACTTTTAAGCCTTCCATTCTAATTGATCGAAGTATATTTGAATTAATTGGAGATACGATCTTTATTTTTGGTACAGCAGGGTCTGATTCCAGTAAGCTCTGAGACTTGTTTCTGGGTAAAGCTTGGTCACATCCTTTGAACTGTTTATAAATGGGTTAGCTCCTTTAGAAATGAAGAGGAAATATAGATCATATCAAGAGCAACTTCCTCTGAGTTGTGAAACCGCAATATATCACCTTTAGGTTGTCAATAATTAATTGAGGTTGTATTTACCGTTATATATGTTCCGAGGCCAGAATGAATCCCATGGCCTTTACCTTCTTCTCAGTTACAGCATGTAGGCAAATCAGTTTGTTGGAGTGCCATGAATGAATACATTAGGACTGTTAACTGAGGGGTAAAAGATGGTTGTGGGCTCTTCGTCGTAAACATGGTCCTTGGAGGAAGCACAATGGATTAGTCTGGAGTTTACGTAATTATTGATTGGTTACAATTGGATACACATTTGTGCAAGAGGAGAAATCTGGGCTGTTAGACTGTATAAATATAGGCTGTGTGATGCAAAGCGGTCTGAGACACTTGGCTGCTTGAGATTGATTAGCCCCCATATACAGTACCAGTCAAAAGTTTGGACACACGTTCTCATTCGAAGGTTTGTGTTTATTTAATTTTTGATTAATAATGAAGACATCAAAACTATGTAGGAACACATATGGATTTGTCTAGTAAACAAAAAAGTGTCCAGAATATGATTTTTATTTTAGATTCTTCAAAGTAGCCCCCTTTTGTCTTGATGACAGCTTTGCACACTCTTGGCTTCTCTCAGTCAGCTTCATGAGGTCGTCACCTGGAATGGTTTTCAATTAACACGTGTGCCTTGTCAAGAGTCCATTTGTGGAATTACTTAATGTGTTTGAGACCATCAGTTGTGTTGTGCAGAGGTAGGGTTAGTGCACAGTGGAAAGCCCTATTTGACTACTGTTGTAATCCATATTATAGCAAGAACGACTCAACTCAGTAAAGAGAAACGACAGTCCATCATTACTTTTAAGAGATGAAGGCCAGTCGATCCGGAAAATGTCAAGAACTTTGAATGTATCCTCAAGTGCAGTCGCAAAAACCATCGAACTCTATGATGAAACTGGCTCTCATGAGGACCCCGCCTCAGAAACCTCAAATTAAAACACCTCAGATTAGAGCCCAAATAAATGATCACAGAGCTCAAGTAGCAGACAAATCTCAACATCCACTGTTCAGAGGAGACTGCGTGAATCAGGCCTTCATGGTCCAATTGCTGCAAAGAAGCCACTACTGAGGATGAACAACAAGCTTCCTAGCTGACTCAAGATGCCTCTTCCTTGTCAATTGCAATTGTAAAGCTCACACCATAATGACACAAGGCACATTAAAGAGAGTGGATGTTATATTGTGTATATATTCTGCTCTCAGTACGACACAATTCTGAGTTTACCACAGTATACATCCTTTTTTCCACTTTTTCGTATCGTTTTCTTTCAATTTGCCGTTGTAATGCTATATTTAAATTGCCAACCAACTCTCCCTTTTACTTTTGTAATCATCCAATTTCTGTGGAAGGCAGGAGTTAGGGGCTTTCCTCGCTCGACACTGTTTGCAAAAGTCATTAGCGCTGGCCCAATCTTACAAACATGTTGTTCATCTTGTTCCTACATTATTTTTTTTTAGATGTTAATCATTCACCACATCCTCTGTGAGTTGTGATGCAGTAGAATATCAGTCATTGCTATCTCTTATTCATTTTAGGGTTTCACTTATGGTACGTGTTTAGCAGATGTTTGTGAAGTTTTTGCAATTCAGCAGCTCCTCACTGTTTACCAGCTTGTTGCAGTAAATTAGGGGACATTTAAAAGTTTCAGAGGTGACCTTTTCTGATAAATGAATCGTATTCATTGTCATATTTTGTTTGTCTAATATGCTAAAATGCAACATTGAAACTCCTCACTTTTAAAAACTGTATGCAATAAATATTGGAACAATTGAACAAACCATTCACAATTAGCTTTCATCTGATATCATATTTGATTTAGTAAAACAAATAATATAATATGTATTAATACACATAAATACACCGTGTATTTAGAAGGTTGTGCCTTTGGGAGATTAAGCTGATGGGCCATTGTTTCTGTCATGGTAAGGAGCAAGAGCATTAATACTGCTTATGAATCAGATCCTTATATTGAAAATAACATCACAAGCCTGTTTTATTTAAGGATGTATTGTTGGGTCCATTGGTTCATGGAAAAGGAAAGGATGTAGGTGCCAGGCACAGGATGAGGCAAACAGTTAAACTGTTAAAAACAGAACAGTGGGTCACAATCGTTATTTAGTTGCTGCTGTGTGAACAAATTTGCTTTAAAAAATAATTGTAGTTAGGTTAAACACCTACAGTATAACGGTGATGCAGTCTGTAACGGGTACACACACCAGTGAATTTGGGTGAGTGTGAGATAAGGCAATGTGAATCTTTTTTATTTCCCCAATCTCTCCTCAGCATGAGCATTGGCTTGGTGAAGCAGTTACCCTGGAAATATCCTCCTGTCGCTTCTGATCTGCACCACTTTTACGAGTTCTTTCTATCCTTTGAGTTCAATTTTGATGAAACAGTAGCACGAAGACAAACACCTCTAATCAAAGATAGTAGGCTTATTCAGCCCTAACGTTGGTCTTAAGTATTTGTACAGTATGCATCATTTTATTTGGGGGTTTTAGCAACATTGT